GGTAAAAAGTAATTTATTTTTACTACAATAGGCATGCAAAAAACCATTTATTCTGGTCAAAGCAGTGACAGGCAGTACGTACTTATATCTGTCGTGCTAGTTAGAGACGTGACATCGAAAAAAACCATCGATATTTTTAAAAATCTATGTTTTGAACGTGTTTGGTAATCTCTGGATTAAAATTCGATACCATCGAAATTTATCTTTACACTGACCATATTCATTAAGTTATAATGTAGTTTAGATTGAAAAGAAACTTTGAAAAGTACTGAGCCTGAGGGACTGGGAGCCCACAGTTATCTCAGGAGTTCACAGCTTCCTGAGTTCGCTGATAAAGGATTCGGGAAGAAGAGGGAAATTCCTACGCCCACGGCATAGGGTGCTTTACCATGTGCGAAACACAACGAAAGACGTTCGAAACACCAGGGCTTCGGGGTCGTCCTAAGCGATATTCTGTGCGATGAAGACACTGCTATTCGCGCACTCTATGGAGGAGAACGTGAATTTCTGTGGCGAGTAGAAATCTGGCACCATCTCTTCCATAAGAGTGACATAGACACCTACAGAGCCTTATTCATCCAGCGTTAAATCGGTGTAGACTGTGCCAAAATCTAGGTGGCTCAGAGGTAAAGGCGAGGGCCGACAGATCGCACCACGCCCTGTGCGTTTGAAAAGAGTATTGATGGTGTGAACTCGCCCTGTCGAACTGTTGGCATTGGATTACTTTCTCACATGCTTCTATCTAACCATACTGGATTCCGTTATGGTAATTGAATGAAAAGACTTAGATAAGTTATCATACGGGTCATTTACTTCAAATAACTAAATTGGATTACATTTAGACCGATAATCACAATGCGCTAACTTAAACATAACAGAATTTTACAATGTAATTCTTTTAGGCTTCGTTCTTCTTCACATAATAATTTAAAGGTTCTTGTCACGTACCCCTTTACTTCCATCGTCGCCGCAGCGATACGCAGTCGAAGCGTTTGCCATTCAAGGCAAGAGAGAGAACGAGAGCGGAAGAGAAAGAGAGAAAAAGAGAGAGGGGAGAGAGGGGGGAGAGAGGGGAGAGAGAGGGAGAGGGAGAGGGATGAAGAGAGAGAGAGGAGAGGGAGGAGAGAGGGAGAGGAGGGAGAGGGAGGGAGGAGATGGAGAGAGAGGGAGAGAGAGGAGAGAGGGGAGAGGAGGGAGAGAGGGAGGGAAGAGATGGAGGGGAGGAGAGATGAGGTAGAGGTGAGATGAGAGAGAGAGAGAGGGAGAGAGAGACGGGAGGAGAGAGAGGGGGAGAGGGGAGAGAGAGGGAGAGAGAGGGGGGATACGGAAGAGAGGGAGAGCAGAGGAGGGAGAGGAGAGAGGGAGAGAGGGTGGAGAGAGAGGGGGAGAGAGAGGGGGAGTAAGAGAGAGGGCGGGAGAGAGGAGGGGAGAGAGAGGGGAGAGAGGAGGGAGAGAGAGAGGAGAGAGCAGGGAGAGAGAGAGGTAGGAGAACGGGGAGAGTGAGGGGAGAGAGAGGTGAGAGAGGGAGAGAGGTGAGCAGGAGAGAGGTGAGAGAGAGTAGGAGGAGAAGGTGAGAGGGAGAGAACTGGGGAGAGGAGGGGAGAGAGAGAGAGGAGGAGAGGAGGCGGGAGAGAGGGGAGAGAGAGGGGAGAAGAGGGTGAGAGAGAGGAGAGAGTAGGGGAGAGAGAGGGGAGAGACGAGGGGAGAAGTAGGGGAGAGAGAGGGGAGAGAGACGGGAGAGAGAGGAGAGAGAGGGAGAAAGGGAGAGAGAGGGGAGCAGAGAGGGGAGAAGAGAGTGGAGGAGGGAGAAGAGGGGAGAGAGAGGAAGAGTAGTAGGGGAGAGAGAGGGAGGAGAGAGGGAGGAAGAGAGGGTGAGGAGAGAGACGGGAGAGAGGAGGGGCGGAAGAGAGGGGGAGAGAGAGGGAGAGAGAGGGAGAGAGACAGGTTGAGAGAAGGGAGAAGAGAGGGAGAGAGAGACGGAGAGAGAGAAGAGAGCGGAAGAGAGAGGGAGAGAGAGGAGAGAAGAGGATAGAGGGAGGAGGGAGGAGGAAGAGAAGAGAAAGAGAGAAAAGAAAGAGAGAGAAAGAAAGAGAGAAAGAGAGAAGAGAGAAAGATGAAAGAAAAAAAGAGAGAGAAGATAAAGTAGAGAGAGAAGAAGAAGAGAGAGAGAAGAAAAAAAAATAGAGAGAGAGAGAGAGAGAGAGAGAGAGAGAGCTAAAGTAGGGGCGAATAATCTGGAACTGGCCTCCGGTTCGAAGCGCCTCCCTCTAATCTCGCTGACACGGGAAGTCGCCTCTTCCGTTCCGTCAACTGTCATCTCTACGTCGCAGGCGCTACGACTATTGCGTTACCAGCGGCACCCAATTGTAGATTTACACCACCAGCGATTGATCACGACCTCCCTTACGTGAAAAAAAATTCTCCGCGGACATGATATTGGATTGACGGTATAATTTTCATCAGCGGTCGCGATTCTTCGTTATGCAATTGCCTGGCCAGCGAGATAACGAATAGACTCCATACTCGCAATTATTTACGATTTCTGAGACCACGGTAATTTATTGAGTGACTTGTTTATGAGTCGTCAGTCCGCTGGGTAGTACGTTATTTATATGAAATGAGCCAAACTGATACATTTTCACGAAGTTGAACTCGCCAGCTGTGTCCTGCCTTCTCGCTGATGTTTGACTCCTACCACACATTGTTGCTTTCTTTGGTTTCCCATAGAGCTCCAAGACCTCCCTCGCTTCTCTCCTCACTCAGTCTTTTGAAAACACACCCCACCTATTTCTTATTTCTAGCAATGATCAGCGTAGCAACAAGTGAGCTCGTCTATTTTTCTGGGAACTTAAGGAGTGAAATTCAGTCGAATTCGACTTTGTTCGCACCCTAACGTCTACGTGGAAAATCGCGTGCTGAACTGAATAAGTCGTGAGCATTTTCTTAACAGTGGACGATTTATTGCCTTTCAGCGCAGGAACCGCTATGCCTCTCGAGCTTACCTCTTAGCTAAAATTGTACACAAGCGTGTAATATTGCATGCTTTATCCTGCATCCTAGCTTCTTTTGACGCCCGCCAATTCAATTTCCAGTAGTCGACACATTATTTTGTTTTTGTTTAGTGAGATTTATTAGGGGCAAAATGAGTCATGCGAAAGGACTTCACTACCCTCCACAGCAATACGATCTCGTTTCTCCATCTCTGGCTTTTTCCAGTCATAAATATTTCCTCGTTCTCCACATTGCAGAAGGCCAAGTACCTACTCTCGCCTTCACACTTCAATATGCCGACCGTCTTTGTTCCTAAACTGTATAGTCCCCGAACCTCCTCCTAAAACTATTCCTCAAAAAGACCCGTCATGGCGTTTCTTTTAAATATTTTATTTTTGTCCTGATTATTCTAACATTGCAATAGAGCATCAAAGAATCAAGTGCCCGTTCAAATGAATTACTATAAATAAAAAATTGAAGAAACAATATTTTATATGCCATACATTTTTGACGAAAATTGTTTTCCCTTCCTTTTTGTTGGTAGTGCAATGGCACACTCGCACTACCCTAAAAGCTTCCAAGGAGCAAATGTATGGTTGTCAAAAGTCAAGTAAAATGAAAAATCACCATTAAATGTAATTATTGTAAAAAGTATTACTACTTAAAATGATCCACATGTTTATTAAATTTCTAAAATTTACATTAATATTTACGTAGAAGAAAACTATATTTTATTTGTACTCTTGATTGAACATGATTATACGGTGTGACTACGAATTTATTTTACTCACGAAGCTGTTTCTACAAAAAGCTATTGTGGACTCACAATTGAATCTTGAAATGGTATCAAGATATATGCAAGATACTGCGTTATTATGTACAGAAAAATGGGATACTTCCCTTTCGACTGTTGAATCAAATTGCCATCAACAAAAAATTATGGCAATTTGCGGGATAATATTGTATGGAACACGGGATGAGTGGTGAGACAATACTATATTTATGACATTACTGTGAACGTTGGAAGGGAATGAGCAAGCGTATTATTATTATTATTATTATTATTATTATTATTATTATATTCCCCAAGTGTAATAGGAAGAATTTGAATTATATCACTGTCAAAAAACTGTGAATTGATTTAAAACAAGGACGCATCTTAAACATCAATAGGAAATAAGACATAACTTTCCCATTTTTTTAACGTATATATAAGACGTCTGCCGCAAAAGCTAATAAAGTTTCGTGGATTCGTGCCAGTTTTGGGATAATTAATCGTCGAACTGGTAATATGTTTGACAGACTCGTGGATGACATTTTAGTTAGTAATTGACTTCGGATTATATCACGTTTAGGAGGGTGACATCTCATTGGCCTGGCGACCAATAACAGAAGATCACCTGGACATTGACCATTTCATCATATGGGATGCAGCTGAGGCATTTTCGAATGCGCGAGAAGAAAGGAAGTAAGTCATGAACATTTAAACTGAATTGTATAGGAAGAACAACAAACGAATTGACATAACCTGCACACTCCCATGGAAGAGGGGACGCATGTTTGGGACTTTGTACTCTTACAACCATTTAAACTTAATTGCAGTAATTTAATCAGGAATATATATATATATATATATATATATATATATATATATATATATAACACACACACATATAAGCATGGTCTCTTTGCTGCCGCTTTTATGAGTAAATACTAATGTAATACATTAATTCTCAATATAAATAATATAATATACATTATAGTAAATATTTTGAAGGAATTTTACGTATTTTTCTATATATTATCCAGATTTGTTTTAGGTACATATGTACATATTTTGGTACTTGACATTACATATAAATCTCAGTTTTTATTATATTTATGGGAAATCCGTTCCCACAATTTGAGAAAAATGTGATGTGTTTGCAGTACTTGAGCCATGACCTTATTCATGTTGAATATCACCGGTACTACGGGTGTAATGTTTTATCATAAACGAGCACAATAATGGAGAAAAAATGTATTTTATTATTTCAATTGTTTACAAACACCGTTGTATAATCTAAATTCCACTTGTTTACTTCTTTCATATTTATTCATTGGTCTTTTCTCTCTTAATCCATCTTCAAGATTTCAAACCTTTAATATCAGCTATACTCGTACTTTTCGTACTGAAACATAAAATAATGAACACAAACTAAAAATAATCGATACATAATTTCGTTAACCCTACAGCTCTCATGCATTAACTGTCAGTCCATAAATAATTATTTTTCTTTTTCCATTTAATATCTTTGACATTAGGAATCAAGTAATGTCAGTACATTCGTGTGAAATTACGTTTGTATGAATTTCAATAGTTATATATTGCGATTGACTAAATCGCATCGCCCTAAGGGTTTTACTAACTCTGAATTTCATCAAATAGTACTTTTTTGCGATTGAAAAAAGCATGGTAAGAATGCCCAAAAAAGTAATTACTACAATTGAAATAATGAATATCATTTACACATACTTCCGTGGGCGGCAACAATACACTTTTCGTACGCGAATGCGGTTTCACAAGGGTCTGGTAACGCTGGAAAATGGAAAAGAATTATAAAATTAATAGAAATGTCATTTTCAAAGCACATGTGTCACATACATATTAAAAGTATACGTGATTTTTACATGTAGAATTCATGCGATCCCCACAAGTTTATCATATGCTTTTATCGCAGTCTTCCGTGTGTTTCATTTTAATTGCCCTGAACAACTAGTATTTTTTATTATGTGCCTCTTACATTTTTTGCGTACTCCTACAAAGCCCTTTAATTCAGTAATAATCATATTAAGCAATTAAGTCTCACAATAGCAAGGTTTAGCACCAGGTGTAAGGAGATATCCTTAAACACTATTGATCTTGTGACTAACGCCATTATACCGCCGTAATGAGCTAAGTTCAGAAGAATTTTAGTAATTGCGACATTGCGGTATGCATTATAACAAAGGAAGCATTTCAACAGAGCGTTGAACAGAGAAATTGCATAATATATCAAAGAGTGAAGGCTAGTGGTGAGACATTTAAAACACGTTACGAGTCAACAGAATAACAAATATACATTATGCATGGGGTTTTCGATTTTATGTCTCTCCGTGATGATTATGCAGTCTGAAATTTTGAATTGGCATTTCTTGAAAATATAGGAAATATCGTAAAACAACGTTCGTTATGAGCATAAGACATAACCTCTCCCGAAGGTATGATTTGAAATTCTTTTTCGTAAAGTTTTTCCTGTCGCCTATCCAATATATCCCGTTAATTCTTGCCAGCGCTGAGGAGTTGGTAAGGAATAATTTCAACTGCCATACACACGAGAATCTGTTTATCAGAGTTGGAAAAATTCAATTTTCCTCTTCTTAGGCGGCCATTTTGTTACTTGCAAGGTGACCGTAAAGACTTCCACAGGCGTGCACTATTTATGACCGTAGGCCTAAGGTAAGACATTACGATTTCAAGGTCCGTCACGTGACGTGCATAATGCGTCTAACTTACGCGTGGCGCTAAAACTCTCTATTACTGGTACACGTAACGTTTTCCAATATGAAAGAGAACTGCATTGATTAGTATTGGGTATTAAAAGAAAAAACTGTAAGATACAAAAACAATGTCTCTTCTCTAGAACACAAGTAGGGTAAAAATTCATCCTTAAACGGGAACCTTCCGGCTCAACACCACACTTTGAGGATTTTGAATATAGCCTAATGTGCGCTTGGTTCTCTCGAAGAAGCAAGGACAATTTCGATACTCCGGAATTTTTTTTACTCTATTTGTGTAATTTGACTGAGCTCTAACTTTTGAACTATGAGCGATCCTAAATCAGAGCAGAAGGTAATATGCCCATGGCTGTTCGTGCAACTGAATAAGAGAACAACCATGTTTACTAATAAATTATGTCTCTGGCATGGCTTTTCATTTTGAAAAGTTGGCAATTCCGTATATATCTTAGGTTTTCTTCGGCACCCGTACTTTGCTTTCTTCTGTAGTGCATTTTTCCACATTTTTTATAATGAAGATGAATTATCGTCAAACAGTTTGTTTTTGTGTTCAACAAATTTTAAATTAGAGTGCTTTTATCTCGTACCCCATGAGAAACAGTTGTAACAATTGTATATTTATACAGTAAAAATCTTTGGTCGCGAGCCAATAATTCTGGTTGTGATGAACTTCGCAGCAGTATTTTTTTTAAATACTCATCAGAATGCTTGTAAGATGTGTAACATGTAATACCATCTAATTCCAAAAAGAAAAAGACTTATTGAATAAAATAATAAAATACTTTCATCGAACAACATTGTGAATAAGTCATGTAAAAATGATGACTCAGAGCATCAACTACTATGCCTCTCTATGGCAGGTCCTAGCTAGATAGCTAGGTTGAGTTCTGTCGCCGTGGGAGAATGCTAGTACCCGGCTGATCTGAATTATCAATTTTACTGTGGTGTCTCCGATTAACATCAGACGAACGCCGGAGCATATTCTAACAAACGGGCCATGGACCGCGCGCGATCTTTCCTTCCTCTTCCTTCTCCTATCATCATCCCTTACTCCCTCACACTTACACCAACATGCACTTAACAGCTAGGCATAGGCGGCGAGACCGGTTGGGAGCTGAGAGCTTGTTCTGTCTGGAGCGGTGCCTGCTGGTGGGAGATACCTGGTTGGAGAAAACCCCGTTACCCGACTGTAGGTCGGCATCGGAACTCGTCCTGCAGCGATAGAAGAACACCGCCACCTCCAGTGCAAAACATGTTCTACACTTACGGGACTTATTACCTCGATTTTTACACGCCCAGAATCACCAACAATAAATCAATCAATGAATCCTAGGCAACTCCCACATAAATTACTTACGTGTTAGATGTTTGCATTTTTCAATGTCTCTCCTAAAATACTCCTCTCTCCTCCAAGCAGGACATTCAGCGAACTCTTTCATTACTCTTTCATGGTCGATTCGGTTCCCAGACATCTGATCAATGAAAATAAATACATGTATAATGAGGAAACATGAGAGACCTATTGGAGAATGTAATACGTTTCAAGAATACTTACACACATTTTGTGTACTTTGTAGAATAATAACACAATGCAAAATTGTTATTAAGTGTGACTACTTATATAAGGGGTTGTTGAATAATTTTGGTTCTGGGGCATGATTAAAGTGATATTTTAAAAAATCGGGTAATTATTTTATTACGAGTGAGTAATTATTGCAATAATAAGCAAGCAAAGTGACAAAGACTTCTATTTAAGTGCTCCTCCTTCATTTGTCTTATATGATTTATATTTTTCCCCTTGAAAAAAAATTTAAAACAATCATATATGAAGTCACTTAGTACTTTCATGCCACCGCAAAAGCAGACGTGACTAAAGGAATATTGATGAACCATTTGATAAGGAATTTGTTTCTGAACGGGTGCAAGACGTAGACAATTCTGGAAGGAAACATCGGGGAGAGGAGTTTATTGATGTAGATGTAAATTTCCCCCGCAAGGTATTTCGGGTGAAATTCTATCTTCCGAACCGTCCAGAAATACTTGGACAACTTTGATCTGGGGCAGGAGCGCGTTGACCAATCGCTAGTCAGAACCTTAGTGCCTGTGTGATTGGCGCAATATACCATAGGGAGGAAAAGCTGGTGTTCCTCAGGGCCGCGACTATTTACGTATGAGGAGTTAACCTTTCCCTGACAATGGAGAGATTTTGCCTGCGCGTACGTCATCATGAAAAAAAATTCTGATCGTGGGTTAACTGTCCAGAATTATAGTCAATTAAACAATGCTCTTTTTCCTCATTTATTCCCCTCCATGAATGCAATACCGTACCTCTGATTTGCGTGTTTTTTGAATCCGTAACATAGTTTGCTAGTCCTCCAAAATATCAAAATACCAGGCATTTGACGCAAAATTTTTAATCTTCCCAATATTTAATCTCCCCAGTTTGTTTTCACCCCGTCAACTCATTGCAGACGATAGTCGTAACAAACACAATTTACTGACTACAAGTACATGTCGATGGTAACACGTGCGCATGAAGTAAAATTTGTTTGGAGTACACAATTCTTTCTCGATTTTCTGAGTGACATCGTAAATGAAATACAATCATTCCTGAGAGGGCCGATGGAATGTTTCTTGCTTGTAAACTTGGCCAACAATATTTATACAAGTGTTCTCGGTACCTTTGTGTGAAAATGTTGAGATCATGATTTATTTCTTACGCACGCGCAGATGGACCGAAATCGGTGTATCATCAGTGGATGTCAAGCTGTAGGATGATTTTAGTGCCATGAGTGTAATATCCGACATGCAGTTCCAATATGTGGTTTGATGAGGAACAAGTGCTTATGTTGTATCGTGAGATTGGTTGTGTTCATGTAATTGAGTTGAATGCATTTTAATTTACTCGTAAAAAACCTTCCATCATAATTTAAGTATAGTTATTATTTATGAATCAAATAAAGTTTTTCTATTCTCAGCATTCCTACCAATTTCTTGACTTCGAGTAAGCATTGGAGCAAACACTGAAAAATAAATTGATTTTATTTAAACATCTACATATCTTTAAAATAAATCCAAAATTATTAGTGGATTTCAAACTACAATGTTTCAAGTATCCATTAATTTTTGGGACCGCAAAGAGCGTTTTATTTGCATTACGTATTGTTAGTAGATATGATAGTTATGTAGCCAACCCAGTATTTATATTATTGGTCTATCAACAATAATCCTGATAGTAGTTTCTGATCAAGATTGTAGGAAATGGCCAAGTCAACTGAATATATTTCATGTCGGTGACACTTTAAGGTGAAGGGAATATTAGACTCCGATGACATAGTGACATCGGAGTGAGAGGAGATCGACATAGTGACGTCTTGTGACAGAGGGAAATGACCCGATCAACAGAATCTTTGGTTCCAATGACATTGTACATTTTAAAACGACATTTCTTGCCTGACATGATTGACGTCAGAAATAGAACTTTCAAGTACGTTATAAAAGTGTGGTTTCGCGTACCAAAGGCAGAATTCGGTACGAGACGTTCATACCTCTCGAATGCAAAATTATATTCATTTTCTGAGACATTTAATGGAAACTTTAAAAATTGTATTATGATTAAATTTGCATTGTGAAATTCAATACATTCAAAGCTGCATCCAGCCACTGGCGTTAAACCTGTGGCACCTGACATTTTCGGCATCTGTGTCTGAGAAGAGTAAAGAACATAACTGGTATATAAGCAGCCAACATGAAGGATCTCTTATTAACATAATTTATTTATTGAATGTGAAGTTTTGAGTATTACAATTTATTTAAAAATATGCAATGCATGAAATCCGTTCAGCTACAAAGTATTGTAATTTTCGTGATAGTATTTTTGCCCTTAAAATCTAATTCGTCGCTATTTTCTTGAGACAATATTCGAAGTTTATAGTAATAGAACTCTAAAAACAATGTTTCCGCAGAAAGTTTTAGATACACATCATATTTTATTACTTTAAAAATGCATTTACTCTTCAGGTCGGATCGTGAATTTTGTAGCAAGATAACACCGAGCGAAACGGTAAAGTTTTGTAAATTCTAATTTTCACTAATAAAACTAGTGATGCTACTACGACAAGCTCTATATGGCGATATTGGTTATAGCTATTGAATATTACAATTCGACAATTTCTGTCGAATCTGTACATTTTAACTACCATTTCGAAGATTCTTAAAACAAACGAAGTGTGTAAAATACATATATATTTTAAATTCAAATTCTTAAACGAAACAGCTTTCTGCAATTGCATTTAGTATATTCACGGTCTCATAAATTTACCAACGATGCGCAATTTGTATTTCATCTGTAACTAAAATATTAGTTTAAATTACTGCACATGAATTGCAGAATTATCTCTTTCTTACATCAATGAGGGTTTACAACAATGTGTTGCAACAAGCCACAATGACCGCTAATTCGTATATGATACATATTTTGGCAATTAGTGTTCTTGACCGCTAGAAAGAACATGGCAATGGATTCAAAAATATATAAATATAATTACGATCTGATGGCCAAGATCCCCAAGGCAGTAATACCGAATCTTTTTCGCACCATATAGATCGCGAGTTCGAGTCCTGTCGCGATCATGGGTGTATCCGTGTATGTCTGTATGTGCATGTCGTATTTTAATCCTCACTATCATCATTATTTAATCTTGCATAACACCAGGTCTAACACCCCTGGGGGTAAAAATAGAATTCAGCAAAATGCTGACCTTCTGATAGAGTTACATTCACCTGCCACTGAGCTAATAGTACTGAGCCCCAGTAAATGCAGGGTGCATGCACGCGTTGCCAATTGTTTGCGAGCAAAAACAAAAAAATAGTTTTCAACAAAATAACTTTTTTACAAGCATCACTCTCCAATCTCACATCTTATTACGAAAAGCGAGATCGTCTATTTTTCTCACATTTAACTCTATTAAAAGGCGCAATTTAAAATAGGCTTTAAATAATTTCTAAAATAATTTTAAAACGTATAACAAAAGATCAAATGTAAGAAACAAAGAAATATGAAGTAATATACAAGTTCTAACTTACGTAGCATTCTACTACCTGTGAACACCATTTATTTTACGTTCCCGAAGCGCGGTAAATGCGATGTGGGTGACGTTTCACGCCAAACTGCTCAAAAAACTCATATTTTCAAAACATTTACCCTAACCTTATTTAAAGACCTGTTTCTGAGGAACACATTTCATTAAGTAACTAGTGGTGCTGAAAAAGCACATACTTTTTTCGCAATGTTAAAAAGCGATACCCAATAGTATATTGATTTGAATATTGTATTGATCAAGTGATTTGACACGTTTTACAATGAAAACAAGAGAGTTGTAAGCATGTTTAAAATTAAAAATCTCAAAATACATACAGACACAACCAGTTTATTTACAATCTTCATGAATTGTATAAGTGAAAAGAATACCTTCAAATGGTTTTCAATAAAGTTTCTGAAATTCTCAGTTAATTCCTGCGGCAATAGAGAATTGTGACAAATAATATTCTCCGACCAAGTCTCGAACCATCGTACCTCCCATCCAAAGAGCTGGGACCCTAAACACTAATTAACCCTCGCGGGTGGCATATAGCAAATGCACTTATATAATAGTTATAAGCATATGGTGTTTTCTGATACAGCTAAGCATTAAGAAGCTAAAACGAGAGAAAATGTGAAAACATGTCGTGTGGGCGGCCAAAATAGGTATCTGGGAAGAGAATCAGTCACAACTGAAATCCAAGTTTAGTTTAAGAGATTAGAAAATTAAAAAATGCGAGAAAGTCTATGCCATTCTATAGCACCCTTAGTTTATTTAATATTTATTTACTTATTGAAATACTAATTTCTTCAACAAACTTTTTATGCGGCAAAAATATCTTAGAATTTATACTTTAGATTTTATTTCTTAGGCGTTATACACGTTTTAATTATTTATGGCGGTAAATAGAATATAGAAAATAAAGTGTTACAAATTTGAATTTCATTTATTTTCTGTTCTCGGAAGTCCAGGAACTGAACCTTAAACGGTGCTGCATGCGTTCAGACAGTGAAGGTTAAATTTTATAAAAACAACTAATTCTATGATGTTTTCCACTTTGCGAGCATATTAATACCTATTCAGTATCCACGAGGAAAATATGAAAATAATTGTGACGATTTCAATCCGCTCCTTTGAGATCACATTCTACCAAACGTCTATTTAATATTCCTTTGTTCAAAAACTAACATGTAAACGACAGTAAGATTTCTGACATGATTATAGTTAAAACTCTCCATTTTTTCACTGATAAGGCGTTTTTCGCCCACATACACTTGACATTCAACAGACCATTTAAATCACAAATGTGATGTCAGAAGATAACACGTTTTAAGAATCCGTAGTCGCTAAAACTTCCTCCTAAAACGTCTGTAATATTATGAGTTACTCATATGGATAATTGAAACGTTTACCTACAGCAGGAATGACTTGAAACGTTGTAGAGTGAAATACACGGGCGTTTTACCTCAATTACCTTCGAATCATGAGTACGCCTGCTCTGATCCTTCGCTGAAAATGAAGTCACACAATACATTGATTAAATTTTGTTTACTCAAAGTCTTGTAATTTCTAAAAATATCACTTCCCTGCATTGGTTTTGTGAAATGAGATAAAAACGTCAATTTGCATTTTTCCCATGAGCAATATATAATGAGAAGACTTTTGAAGGTACTGAAATCGTTGGAAGGGTTTCTTATATTCTTTTGAAAGTGGTTTTTAAATGAACTGGTAATACGACCCGTCACCCATTCCTGAGGTTCCGACAAAATACTCTCTTAATATAAGGAAGAGTATCAGGAATACTCTACCAAAGCACCTATTGGTTGATTATTTTAAACTTTGGAGTACCGGTATAATTTAATCAAAATATGTCTTTGTAAATAAAAAAAATTGTGACCAGAATTACTTGAAGAAATTTAGAACACTTAGAGTTCATTTGTAAGTAGAGCATATATTGAACTTTATTTAAAAACTATTTCAGGTAACTTTTTGAAACAACTTATTTGGTTCCGATTACACTGACTCCTCAATGATTTTAAACAATTGACATTTAATGAACTATTGTTTTTCTATATCATAGATTTCCTAATCAAAATCTGGACTCAGAATTTGCAATCTCAATTATTTTTCTTTACAATGTATGTGAGATAAAAAAATTTCATTTGTGATATATTGACATAAATTTCAATCCTGTTATCATACTTACGGTCAGCATTTTTAAATTTTTCGTAGCATTTTTTGATGAGATTTTTCTGGAATAATACAAAACAAAATATTTTAATGTTGCGTCACTAAGTGATATATTTTTTGTGATGTAGTGTACACAATCATTTAGACACTTTCTTGTAAATGCATAATTAATTCACTGATTTGGCACAAGCCCCAATACACTTTTCTTGCCGAGTAATAGTCAATACCTCCAATAAAAAACCTGGTTGTGATACTCAGTATACGCGCATAATGTTAAGTGGTAATGGTCACGCACTTGTTCATTGTAATGCTTAAAAAAATATTCTGTGATTATTATTATACGTGTTACATTACGTTTTCGATTAACAGAATAAATAGGATATCCTGTTACAGTGTCCTATATAATTCTTGTGCAGGTCTTTGTAAATATAAAAAAAATTCAATTACATGGTCAGAAACATGTCACTGCAGTAACTCTGACGCGGGAATAGTTTTACACCCGTGACAATAGCAGTATTTTCGACAGTATCTTGTCTGCTGTGTCGTATTCGCCCGCTGTCTGGAGGAGAATTGTAGTAATACGTAGTTTTCCGTAGTTCAACACCATGCGATGTCGGAACAGAACCATAACAAACGAACCACGAACCGCGCGATATCATTCCTTCCTCTTCCTTGTAGTGTCTTCTCCACTTACTCGCACACACATCTACAAGCGATGTAGTTCCCCATTCGTATGTTGGAAGATTGGAAGACAAGTCGACAACCTAGATCATGTTCCTGCTCAGATAGAGCTCTGTTCGGGGAGATACCTGGAGGGAAATTCCTTCACAAATCCACGTACAAACCAAATGTCACGTTCCAGTAGTAGTAGTAGGAACACCGACACTTCTCGAGATGTAACTTGAATAACGCGTACGGGACCATCTACCTTGGGAGATGATGAGCCCAGGCATACGAATCAATGAATTAATATATCAACTGGATGAAGGGGGAGATGAGAACGTAATTTGGCTTTTAACCTCAATAACCCCTTTTAACCAGTCCGAATTATCGTTTGGTGACGGCCGACGCCTCCCATCTGATGGGTATTATTATTAACCCAATACAATTTCAATGTAAGGCAAGGGACTCCTGGATCTTCAGAGAGGGGCTGCATGTGCAGAAAGCTTGGTTTATGTTATAATAATTTTACGTATATTTTGCGATACGCTAAATAATTACTTAAATTGCAATAGAAAATGATTTACAACATTCCTTGATTTTACTCATAACTAGATTGCAAAAATAAGTAATTTCTGAAATAATTAAATTAAATTATAAAATCTTTGGTTGAAATACAATTACAACAAAATAAAAAAAATACTGCAATTTTGTGACATCAAACTTCATGATGTAACTAAAACTTTTGTAAACTATACTGAGATTGGAAGACTTACTAATTGGAAGAATATTTTTTTCGGATTAGTTTTTGCGTTCAGCTAATGAAATCTGGCCTCCACGATGACCTGCTTGTAGATAGCCGCGTCGATTCGTTGCCAACTGCCTCCTTGAAAGTGTCTTCCCATCTTTTGCGTTGCCTACCAGGATGACGCTACCGAGTTCGTGGTTACCATTCCGTAGTAGCAGTATGGCCACCGATGATGTCTGATGGCATCGACGCCCCATTTCCACTTTTGCTCAGCTGTTTGTTATGTTGCATTTTGATCTTGGTCCTGTTTCTTATTTCGGTACAGATTAAAAGGTCTTTCAAACAGATGTTGAGAATTTTCCTCTGCCTCCTGTATAGTTGCAATTTTTGCAAGCAAACTCGAGTCTGTTTAATCGTCTTCCTTTTATTGATCCCAGTGTCTTTCCAGTTTAATTGTCAGAAAACGTCCATCAAACGTCTGAACAATGAGTCACAGAGGAACACTTTTTTTTACTCTTCTTTTGATCATCTGTTCAAAGATCATCGGATAGTATAGAACGACTATTATTACATCGTTTGGGTTTAAATTGATACATTCCTTTGGTGACGTGGTCAGTTCTATATCAATTAAACTAGACACGTAAAATTATTTTTAGAAGAGATGTCCCAAGACTCTTAATGGAATGTAATAAATTTGGCAAGATGAAAATTATTTCTTTGCTGGAAACTATAATTTATAATATTAACTGTAGGTGTATAAATTAAATCTAACACTGTTGATTTCGCTATTGGCAATAACAGACAATGCAGATACATATTAACAGATAACATGTAAAAAAGAAGTGAGGAACTTACATCTTTATCCTTTGCAAGACAAATCGCACTAAGACAGAGAAAAACAATTATCAAAGACTTCATCGTGTCAAGAAATCGAGAATCAGACTGCTTCATGACTATTCCTTCAATATTCTCAATATATAGCTTTATTGAGCGCCAAATTTCATTTCTTTGTATTGGTTTTCAGTTCAGCGGATAATTACTTCCGGTGCGGATGATGTTGGATTTAGAACAAGGTAATAAAACGATGACGTAAACGCCCCTTGTTGACGCAAAAAATTGTTTTTTTAAAAAAATGTATGCTAATGAACTTAACGAGGTTTTACCCGGTATTGGGAAACTGTTCGCAAGAAATGATGAGAAATATCATTAACAGTTCTCGGAATTCCGATCACTTATTTCAGCTAAAATAAGCAGGTAAAACGTCATTTATTTTTACTAAAGTAGGCATGCAGAAAGGCAGTTATTCTGGCCGATACTGGTGGTGCCAGTTAGATATGTGGTATCGATAAAAAAAACCATCGATTTTTTAGAAATCAACGCAATATTTTAAAACATGTTTAGCAATCTTTGTATTGAAATTCGCGAACAACAAAATTTTCAAACAGTAGCTCTAACTTTTTGATAAAATCTAATTGTTGATTTCATTATCGTTGAAATCTTAATTTTTTCGATAATTGTAAAAATTTTAATTAAAACTACAACATTGAAGAATTTTGCCTCAAAACGTCTTGTACAAACATAGATGTTTAAAAAAGGTCCAAGCTAATTTTTTAAAAACGAGAGTCGTTTTTGCGTAATTACGTTATAAAATCAATGAAATACATACACACACACATACTCTCTCTCTCTTTCTCTCTCTCTCTCTCTCTCTCTCTCTCTCTCTCTATATATATATATATATATATACTTATACCTATATAGAGGGAGCAGGAGAGAGAGATAGATAGACTAGCACTAGATAGATAGATAGATAGATAGATTCAGATAGATCGACTAGAATAGATGACGATAGACTAGATAGATACATATACATACATACATACATACATACATACATACATACATACATATAGATTTCACACCTGCGGGCCGCGAGAAAAATTGAATGAATGATATGAAAAAAAAATTAATTTAATTTGAATCATAATTTACTATTGAAAAGCCAATATTAACTATTTGTACACTCTCGCACTTTTACATTTTACCCAATTTGTATTCTCAGTGTTTTGATTATTTTCTTTTGAGCAATCCGCAAAGCTTAATTGAAATTTCTGCAACAATGCCGCATCGATATTTGAGAAGTTTATTGTTGTTGAACGTTAAGATTAGTCAGTGATAAAATGTAGCTGTTGCTGTATTTAATCGAGCTGGCGTTTCCAAATAAACCCTTCAGTTATGATTGAAAACCTATTTGAAAACTTTTATTTTTGTGTTGTGATTTTCTTTCGTGCCCCCCCAAGAGAACCACTGCTGACAATAGCATCATTTTAACACCGTAACTCCTACACCGAGAGCCATTACTTCTGTTTGAGATGGATTTTATAAGGCAGTTTTTTTTATAAATGGTGATTTATGTTTTATACCATTTAATATCATCCGATCCTTAAAAAATGTACCGCGCATGGACTAAAAGAAAATTACATTAAGCATACGACATGTTCAATAACACAAAGAAAACTGCCCACGAAAAATCTTCCATGAGAGTCTGTACTAATTTAAACTTATTTTATTAAAAAAAGGTCAGTACCATTTTTTCCACTGTCTCTGAGTCTCAATTCACGTAGGGCTTACCATGTGGGGTGCCTAACGTTTATTTAATCACCTAACCTTGTGCTGAAATATGTGTAATAGGCACTCTTCACGAATCTATTAATGTCCTGTCTTTGCTTAACAATTCCATAACTACCACAAAATAGACGAACATATTTGCGTTATATAAACACGCGTGAACACATTTCCCAAGATAATGAACGAACAATAACTTACAGAACTTCACAGAATGTTCACAATCAATAGCCAGATGGGAGTCCCCCCCCCCAGCGGGGTACAGAGACAGACATAGAACGAGGAGAGTGAGACACACAGGCACACACAAACAAACACAGAGAGGCACACACACACAAACACAGAGAGGCACACACACACAAACACAGAGAGGCACACACACACAAACACAGATAGGCACACACACACAGAGGCACAATGTAACAATGTAACAATGGGAACAATGGGAACAATGTAATTGGCGCGAAGACTGTTGAGGCACGGACACGGACTCTGCCGCTGACGTCGGTGTTGGCCGATAATATCTGATGATAGTGGTAGGTCCTCGGCGGCGGAGGTGCGAACCGCAGTTAATGATGTGATTTGCCCCTGAGGACGGTGGAGGCGGAGACGCAGGTTCACCACAGACTTCTGATATTGGCCCGAATGCTGATGATTGTGTGGGCCTTGACAGCGGCGGCGGAGTTGCGGTCCACAGTAGGCGGTGGACAAACTTCGTCGAGGAAGAGAGACGCTGAAATCTACGGGAGTGGCTAGAGAAGAAGCTATCAGAGTCGGTGCAAGGGAAGAAGCATTCAACATGCTGAAGTTCTCAGGCACTGCACAAACCGTCTGATGAGACACCACACCCAAAATCATGAGATGGATTTGGCATGTCGGTAGGGAGGAAGAGACGGAGGCTGCCGAAGCCGCACTCTTATCGCCCGAACTCGTTATTGTTAAGGTAAATGACGGAGGCCCTACCTATGCTGATATTCTAAGGCAGATCAAGGCGACCCTCTCTGAAAGATGCTGGTGAGAACGTCCGCA